ATTAAGGACTGTGCATGCATCTATGATAATTAATATGACATTTATTGATACCGTGATACAGTCGAGGATTTCATGACATAACATTTTGACATTCCTCATCTATCGAGTAGTTTAATAGATATAACTGATTAGATTAAATTCAGTCATTACAACTGAAAAAGGCTTATGAGACATGAATGGCATGTAAAGCTTCAATCATGTCACAATTGAGGAATTTTTCGATTTAATTATGACTGCACATGACGACATAAGCTTCATGGTGACAAATTTCTTATAAATTTCTTGCATTTCTTGCACACTTGCTAGATGTGCATCAACATGATTGCTTTATGTTCCATTGAATAAATTTTATAATTTGCGTTATTCGTTCTTTGTGCTCAATTAAGATATTTTTGACATTAAGACTCGAGCAAGCAAGCTAGCAATGCCAAATAAAATATTATTCCACCCACGAAATAAACTTGAACATTTTCGGACATGAAAGAAGCTGCAAGCACCAAAATAACAGAAACAACCTTCAATTTGTGACATCACCGTTGGTTAATTTCCATAATTTTTAAAGTTTCAATTCTATTAGATAGATGGAATATAAAATAGCAAAAAGCAGCACTTGTAGATGCTGTATGAAAGTAAGATATGATCGACATGTTGTAAAAAAAATAACAAGACACAAAGATTCCATTCAACTTTATTCCATATTACTCATGAGTAAAAAAGTTAAGGTGTTTTTGCATACTTAATTAACAGTTTAGCAGAATACCGACAACAGCCACTTACAACAAGTTGTATTATTATGTAAGTATCAGATCAAATGATTCATTGAGACATGTTGATAAAGTTCCCATTTAACCAGACTCAAGTTCGAGGCAACAATAAGAAATAATCGTGCACATTTTCTCTCCCGTCCCGTCCCTTCCTCAATCCTTTCTTCTTCTTCATCGCCTTCATTCCGTAAGATTCTCATTCATAGAATTTCATTTCATTTTGAGCCTGTGTGCCTCAATGTGCCTGAGTTCTGTTCAATATTTATTTTCGCGATCGTATTTTTATGGCGCCTGATTCTTCACACATTATTATTGTAGCTTTAAAATCCATAACACAATAAATTGTAGGATTCGAGCAGACTCCATAAATTAACAACAACTGTGTGAGTTTTTGTGGAGGCGCTTTATCTTTTTGCAAATATTCCCGTCGTTCTTTCATGCGCTTCCAAGAAGTCAATTCACGGGAGTGATCTTCCGCTATAGAACATTGATTGATCTGATTTAACGAGTACCACACTTTGAGGTGAAAATCAGTTCCAAAGAAATTGTAAGTCAGTGGCAAACAAATGTGATGAACAATGTTGGTGACTCTCTTGTCGTGCCATTGTCATGCTAATCATTCATTACGGATCATAATAAAACATTTTTTTGGGTATTGTATTCTAATTAATTCATCAAAATTGATCGTAATTATTTGATGTGAATATTTACTGACTCAATGTGATTAAGTCATAAATATTTCAGACTTTCGTTACCGCATATCCAACGCATATCATTACAATCCAATTTTAATGAAAGTCATGAAAACCATAAAGAGATAAACAATGAGCATGAATGAAGAGAAAAAGCTGGAAAATATCTAATTAATAATTATTTTTTGTCGACTGACTTTCTCATCGACATTGAAATTCGTCAAGCTCTAAATATTTTCTTCTTCTTGTTAGCGAATATGTCAAATATGCGGATGAAAAAAAGAGTTACGCACCAACAAGTATTGTCACAGTTTCAAATCTTCAAGTGTTTCATCTGTCAATAATGTTATGAAGCAATTTTCCACGCAATCAAACAAGTCCAATATTTGACTTTTCTGTTTCTTTACACAGCTCATTTAACTGACATTTAAGCCATGCTTCTACTTATTTTGTTTGACTTCTTTTATAAGGGAGAGAGAGAGAGGAACTCTAGAGGTATCATTGAATGAGATGAGAATATTAAAATTATTATTAAATCCACAGCATCATCTCCTCCTTTTCCTTTCATCTTAATTGTCTGTTTGCCTGTTTGTCTGTTGTCCTATCCACATTCATATTGTTACATAAATAAGTTAATCGGTGAAACACATAAAAACAGGTTTTCGTCTCCAGAAATAACAACAACATTTAAAGTGGAAGTGCAGAGTCTCTCTCACATAATTGTGTGCTTTACGTCTCATCGTTGCCAATGCACAATGCATTCATAAAACTAGCGTGAGTGAAATGCAAAATATATTTGTGAAAAAAATAAGATTTAGAAGGAAAGAAGTGAGAGGAAGAAAGGCGAGGAGAGCAAAAACCACCCAAACAAATACCAGAAACTTGTTTCTTATGCAGCACATGCGGTAATGTGATGATGATTCATCCAGCGACAGACGACAAACTTCACTTTTTACGGTTTAAACTTTATTTCCGAAAGTACAATGTACGACTATCGCCAATCTGTTTTCCTTTCTCCTTCTTGCCGGGATTCAAAGAATTAACTTCAGCATTTATTTGGAAACTTTTGACACGAAAACTATAAACTTTTACTATATGTGATTCGTTTTTATTGCCAATTATTTTATTGATTGTCAAAATTGTTGTATTTTGGCACCAAAAGTATTCAAAATTATTTAATTGCTTCCGGAAATTGCTAATTGCTGTACAGTGACAAAAAAGTATGAATGGAATCATTCTGTATCCTTTTCTGTCATGCGTTAATGTCCATTCATGTGGGTATTTATTTGTGTTCTATATATAGGCAATAAGAAGTAATAAGAAGACTGTATGGAAGAAGAAATCTAGTTTCTGCATGTTTAGACATGTCGGCTGTGCTTTATAAACCTTATTTTTCGTTTACTCCGCACTCTATTGACCTTGTTAGATGATTTTGTTTTTATTTGCTCAGTTTTTTACTATAAGACGATCATTACTCTTATGGCACGCGTCAATTTTTTAATAAGCATCGCAATCTGACAACTGAGAGACGAGAAATAAAGTTCTTTTGAAGTCTCGCTTTTTTCTAAGCCACAAAATAAATGTGTTAAAAATTATTTTATATACATCCATCAAAAGTAGCTTCTCCATCAGCATTTGATCTCCAAAATGTCTCGTGATATAAAATTTCTCTCCGTTTCCCAGATGTTATGGCAAAAGAGAAGAAAAAAAATTGGCCATGCGTTCCTTTTGACTGTACATTTTGTATACACAAAAATTTTGATAATATCACGAAAAAAAGAGGATGAAAAATTTAGGTTGAACAGAAGTGCGGCAACAGCAGCAGCATAAAAAATTAATTTCATCATAATTATGGATCAACAATATTCTATTGAACTGATCGTCGTAATGATCAGGTAGTAAAAGAGAAAACTCGTCAATTATGTGTGTTATAGTCAGTAATATGCCTTAAAATAGAAGCAATTCCTAAGCACTTTATCTTTATCCAATTGTCTGTCAATAAAAAAACTTTCAATTTCTAAAAGAAGAAAATCTTCTCATTCTGCCTGTATGCTTTATTCGTTAGTGTGTGGTGTAATGAAGCTGAAGTTGATTCCATTAATACGGTTGGCGAGTATGATGATCGTCATCATCCAATAATGTGTAATCTCAATGAGAAGGCATAACACGATAAATCTTCAATCCTCATTTAATTCATTTGTCATGACATCTGCCTCTCACGCATGCTGCTTGCTTCTATCCATCTCTTTCATTCCTCTTTTGCTGCTCACTTCTTCTTCCTATTCCATATTTCTTTTTAATTTTCACACTTTTTTTTGTCTTTAAACGCCACTTATGGATCATAAATTAAGAAAACGTTGACGGCTTAACGGCAGCGGTTATTCGGTGATGGTGGGCCATTCTTAAGACATTAAAATTAATTTTTAGATGTTAGGAAATTGGAAATGGACAAAATTTATGACTTCTGTTATGTGTCTGCATAACCTTTTGCCTTCTTGCTGTTTTTTGTTTGGAGACGATGAAAATTTGTCCATATCCATATGTACATTCAATGAGTACATCCAAAGGAACTAAATGCGAGGATTATCAACATTGGAATATCAAAAAAGCTATCATGAAACATGTGGCACGGCAAACAAAAAGTATGGAAAAAAGGAAACCAAAAAGAATCAATCCGCCCACTTTATTTATGATTCCTTTCATTTCTTTCTGTTGTATTCTTATACTGCTAATGCTGCTGCTGCTCGTTATTGTTATATTTGAGGGAAATTGTTTTGAGATTAGCATCAGTAAGCAGTTCTTCTGTTTGTATGTTGTATGCATAGAAAGTGAGGATTATTAGACAGCTCCTTAGTTTACTATCGATCCATAATAAAGTAACTTGCAATAACAATAAAAAGGCAATTTAATGGAGGGTAATGGCACTTCCTATGTCTAGTGCTGATATAAAAAATTTATTTTAAAGTCAAAGGTTTGAAATGACAAAATTATTATCTCGTTTTTTATACCGAAGAGCCACCTGATCATTGATCATGTTTAAGGCACGAGTAGTGTAACAAGAATATAAATTATTTGTATGGACAGATGTATGATTGGAGATAATGAGGCATATTTACAGAAGAAAAAAATTAAATTATATGTATTGACAACTAAAAGTGAGCAAAATGAGTTGAAAATCAAGTTTTTTTTTGCATGACATGTAGTTGTGAGCACGAGACTTAAAGAATTTCTCAGATTGTGTTGCAGGCAACAATTATTATTCGATTATGCGTCACTCTGTAAATTTATGACGAAAAAAAGTAATTACGAGATGCAATAACATCAAGGAAAGAGGTTTGCGGTTATCACAGACGTTTTTATAGAAAAAAAAATCATAGTTAAGATGTTTAGACGAGCAGGTGTAATTCTCGCATTTGCTTCGGTAATTCGTTTTACTTGATGAGCAAGTTCTTTTTGTGATCAAAATCCTCAACTAATAATTCCCTTTAAAGCATGTTATGTGGCACTAACATAAATCTAGATCAAAAAATAATTTACAACTCACCTGTAATTCCAATTATATTTAATAATAAGCATAAAACTAGTGTAGATACTATGTTGAATTTACAATTCTTAAAATTACTAAAATAATGACTGTGTCCATTTGGATTTCTAGAAGATTTTGATTTTATTATGCTTATATGCTTATCAAGTTCGCGTCTTCGTCCTGTAAAAAAAGGAAATTAGATTAATTTGGATTTTATAATTATTTAGAAGCTTGTGGGATATTTACATCCATGCATCATCGAGTAAAGGTTAAATATACAGTATGTCAGTTGATATAATCACAACCCTTCAAATCTATCGTACTTAAGAATTGATTTATTACCACACAAAGTCAGGTATAAAAATAGCATTTGACTTTTTAATCAGATGAATATCAAAATTTAACAACAAACATCAGACATTCAGTACATCAGTAAGTAGTAAAGTAAGAACAGGTGAATACAAAAATTTACTGAACCGAAAAATTTGCTCAAAAGAGAATCAAGTCTATTTAGGAAAACAAGCCATAAAAAGTAATATCGTATCATGTGAAGCATATTCTTTGAGACGATTGTTAAATGTAAAGGAATTCATTCCATTTCTTCTTGTAGAATAATCATAAAAATTGCAGTAAAATTGCATTATCTTGAATTTGATTTTTTTTTTATTTATTTCTCCTTCGTAAGCATGAAACAATAGACGATGAAAATCTGTAGTTGTTTTTATAAAGTCACAAATAGCAGCAAGAGAAGAAAGAGATCAGTTGAATGAATTTTAAAGACAACGGGATTTCATAGCGATTTAGTCTGTTGAACACATTTTTTTGGATCTGTAAGACACTTGATTCTATCTTGTGTGTCTACTTAATTTCTTATGATTAATTAATGCTCATCTTTCTTAAAGGAATTAAATCATCTACAAGAAAATGTAATTTAGGTGAAAATATTACTTCAATTGATTTAAGAAGCAGCAAATATGTAAATCATAGGAAGGTACGATGAAGAATTAAATTGTTATGGATTAAAATCACACCTGTAACTGAACACTGAACACATAAACTAAATATAGTAATCTACAGCACTTTAAGATGTGAAAGAAAAAAAGCAAAAAGATTTTTACAGTCACTGAACAGAATGAATGAAGTTCTAAGTGCTACAAAACCCCGGCAAAGAATTATGGAAATGAAAACCTTCAAAAAGTATTAGTGTCGATTTAAAGGCTCATACTCTCTCAGGCAGGCACATAGCGCCTATAATTTAAAATATAATCATATTTTTGTATGTTTGTATGAAAATCACGTAGCATTCAGTCACTGTGCCATCATGAAGAAATCTTGAATGATTATAATGTTCATTCGACGATTGTATATCGATTCTACGTACATTCTAAGCCCGTGTCTCACTTTCCTAGAATTTGTAAAACGGAATTGAAAGAATAAGAAATTTTACGGATGTGCAGTTCCTGATCAGACATGAGACATTCGTTGATATGAATGAATTTAAATGAATGACATCATCATCAGACAAACCGACGATTGAATTGGCAAGTGATCATCTATCGATGCGGATTTTGATGATTTGCGGAATTGATCAGACACAATAGTAATGAAATTTAATTATTCAATGTCAGACCTTCATCATTACCAGCATAAATTTCATGGTTTTGAGTCAATAAAATGTTTTTGCAAAAATTCTTTCCCAAAATTATTCATGCACCCTAAAACATGTGCACTTCCTTATGCAAACATACTGGCAGTTAGTACAGACAGAACAAAATCAAGTCAATATCATAAATATTTTGACATGTTGATGATCTTTTTGTGTTCTTTGAATTTCCATACAATTTTGCACTAAGGAATAACAACAAGAGATTGTGGCAGGTACAAACGAAAAAGTTTTGTGTGTGAGAAAATTTGTTCAAGAAATTTAATTATTATATGGGCTATGTAGCAAGTACATCGTAAAATGCATAAACATGCATCAACTTTGTTCATCACACATTAGCATAAATTCCTTCCTTTCTTCTTCTCTTTCCTTTCATTCTGTTCCCATGACCGCTTCCATCACAAAAAACTGTTTCTTTTATTGTTACTTCCACTGAGATCCTTTTCTTATTTTCTTAATATTTCTAAATCTCCATGCTGTGATACGTGATAACTTCTTTAAAAAGTATTCAGTGCCTTAAAAAATTAATTTTAGGAAATTTTTACACCATTTCCAATATACAGTATGCAATAAAAGAAAATTGTTTGTTGATCATGTGAAAGACACGTTCGAGTGGAAGGATCCTCACCTTCAAATAGCTTCAAATGTGTAGTTTACTCGAAAAACGAGATGAAACAAAAGAGATTTTGCAATGAAAAAACGTGACCGTGAAAAATGGCAGTGAATCGTTACAACTGGTGCATAAAAAAGCATTAACTTATGCTGCCTTTTTCAACTGGCACTGCAAATTGTAATGCATAAAACAAATTTATGTGCACTTGTTGGTCCGTCGCTCTCTCACTGACTGCCTTATTGTCTCTCCTGTTTTATCTTCGCCTCTTTTTTGATAGTCAACTGGAAAAGTTTGTAGAACAAAAGACGTTCCACATTTCTTTTTGCTTCACTTCTAACTTCTTTCACATTTGAATTATCTCTGCATTAAAAAACGTGGTAAAATGCACACAAAAATTCCATTCTTAAATGTAACATGAAATTTCTCAGCAAATAAAATGTTCAGGAACAGCACGAAGAAGTGGAATAAAATTTATGACATTAATCTCGCCATTATCATTGCAATTTTATTGCGAAAAAGTAGCAAATAGAGAATGTAGCATTAGAAAAGATATGAATGCATGGAATGAATTGCAACTTTATATCTCATTTAATTCTAATTTACATTCTTAATAGAAAATGATTTAAATTTTGTAATGTTGCTGCTGTGGATATACAAAAACTCAGCGGTGATTATTCAATTGATGTAAATCATAAAATTGATGTAAGTAGGTATCATCTGGGACATGGAACTAAATTATCACGTATGATCTTAATCATTGATAGAAATCAGGAAGTTGCTTAATATTTTTTAAAGTAAACAAGTTCATATCCATGCTGAACGTGCACAATGTATGAATTTGGCATTGAATTAAAGCTTATGGAAGGAATGGTTCGTTGACAATAGAAATAAGTTGAATATTGGTGCTGAAAACATTCTTTTGTAAGCACGAGCGCAAACGTTGTATGACATCAGCATCGTCACTGGCACCGGAAAGAATTTGCTACTCGACTAACGTGAAAAATGTGAAAAAACTCGATAATAATTGCGAGCTTACGTGAATAATGTAATCAAAATGAACTACATTTCTTTATCACATCAAGTCGAGTTGAACGCAAATAATATTTTACTACATCGCACGCCTTATTAGATATATTCAGGCATTATATTGCGTTCGACTTGTGAGAGTAAAGACAAATATGAGAATTAAGAAATATTTTCATTTTCATTGAGCAATTGAATGTTTCCCGTGACTTATTATGTTCGCGAGATCATTTTTACACATTTATTTAAGTTAATTCAGCTGACATGATTCTTTCAAGCTTGCCTGCCTTAATCTTCTTCATTTACATTCATTAAATTGTGAACAACACGATTGCTTTTGTGTGGAAGATGCTGTGAATCAAACGATTCTACGGCTGCTACTGGCTGACTGGATGACTAGTGTGGAACTGTCGGAGATAATTAATTAATCACATCCTACATTTCATGCGTGTGACATTCAAGTGAATAACTTTCCACAGTACACAAGATGAAATTCTTTCAATTCTTAATGAAGTTATCTCGTTATGGAACTTATCACTTAATTGAAATCGCTTCCATTACCTTTGTCAACATTAAACTTGAAATTCCTTATATGTGTGATTTAAACATTCATCAATTGTCATTATAAATTATTACATGCTGATTCAGAAAGACTTTCATTCCTTTTGAAAATTTATCAATTTTTTCACATCTTCATTTATCTTCTTTCTCGCATCATCTTAGACTTGTTGTGTTTGCACAAAATCACTACTGTCTGCTACCAGCATTTTTGTTTCGTCTTACTGCTTCATCATCTTCGTCATCCATCGACTCTAATTGTTTATTTACTTGCTCAATATTATGACTTCAATATTCAAACACACAAATTGTCTTTAAACATCGAGTGATGATCATGAAGCAGTCAGACAATTTCACACCAACCACTAGAGTCATTTGTATAAGTGCAAATCTTTCTACTGCTAGAATGAGGATGCTCTCATTTCATTTTCATTCATTCATCAATGACAGTTCCCCCTGTTCTGCTGCATTATTCCCACGATCCCCTCTTGTGAGCACAAGTGTTATCTTATCACATTCTTCAATATTTTCATTTAATTTTTTTACAAACAATAAAAAATTCTTCTTCATACCACACACAAACGAGCAATTGCCTCATGTTGATTTACTTTTAGCTTTTTGTGTCATTTCTTAGTTTTTTTCTGTTTTAACATTAATTTGCTGTTGTGCTGTTGTTGTGTCAAGTAAATGATTCATTTAAATAAATACTTTATGGCATTCTGTTGCTGGTGTCTTTAAACATATAACAAAAAATAATTTTCGTTCCTTCTTTTCATCGAGTTTTGTGTGCTGTTAGGTCTCTCAAAAACAAAAAAAAAACTAAGTTTATTTAAGCAAATATTTCCACAGCTTTTAAACACAAAAATACAATGAACCTTGTTGCTGCTTTTGAGAAAAATTTTCTTCTTCCCTCCTGCTCTGCTGATGCTGTTGTGACTTTGTTGCTTACAATTCAATTCGTTTCATAAAAATGAGATGACAATGAAGTGAAGCAGATGAAGAAATGTGGAAAATTCTTAACATTTGTGCAAACAGTTTTGTTTGTAGTTGGAAATACTTGAAATTATCAGGATACTTTCCATTATTATCTCATCATTTAAAAATAACAAGAGCAAGCTTGTAAGCAACACTTCGGCAATGACTAAAACGAGTTCAAAGAACCGAATATGGAATGGATTTAGAGCCCATAACCAATTTTCATTATATTTCAATCTATATAAATAAAACAATAGAAAAATAAAGAATCAGAATTTTCATTCTTGTTCCACGACTTCTTCCTCACATTTCTTGACTCTTACGGCTGCTAATGGGCTGAATGAATAGCTAAGAATTTTTACTTCTATTTCATTAAATTAATTTTTTTGGCTTGTATTGTTTTGTCACAGCGTGAATTTTTATTATTTTCAATTATTTATTTTCTTACTTCTTTCATACATTGACGACGACCTCTTGAGATTCTCTAGCTCTCTCTATCCATTTTTTTATGATTTAAGAATTTCCTTTCCTTTCCCCTTTTTTATATTTTTTGAGCCCTCAACGATTTATTTATTTCCGATATAATGAATTTTGCGGCTATTCAAATTGTTCATTGTTTTGATGTCTGATTTAAAGGAGATTTCTACTGTTGGATATGAGAAATTCTTTGATGTGTCATGTACAAATACACACATGTATGCAATTATATTGAAAATTTGAATTTGGCAGTTTTTAAAGTCATTCTGTGAGACAGAAAATGAATTCAGCTTTAACGCTTTAAATTCTTCTTAATGACATATCTTGGTCGCCTTTATAATTTATAATAATATCAAGCAACATGTGCGGGTGTAAATTTCGATATTAAGAATCTGAATGCCTGAGTTATATGTAAAGTATTAACAATAAAAGAACGAAATGCGTGCTAAAGCAATCGATTTACATAAAAGACTCTCGTTAAGACTTTAAAGTCTTGATTATACGAGATCATTTATTGCTGAACAAGACCAAATATTCCTTATTTAAATTAAGATTTGAATGTTTTTTGTGATTTGTTGTGATTGTGTCAGATGGAAGTGCTGTGATCATTTATAACTGTAGATCAGTGACTTCTCATGACTGCTTTAATTGTTGAATAATCAAAGAATTGAGAGGAGCTCGTGTAATAATTGCTCAAAATATTGTCAAAACAAACAAACGAAAATTATTTCGTGTTTTGGGAAAATTTGCATTTGTTTCATGCCGTTAATAATGTGTGTCACGTTTCTCTACTTATCACAGCCACATGAAACTGAGTAAGAAAATTTTACGACTTTTTGGCAATTTATGCCTCTCCTAGATATTAGCCATATCTGCTTTGGACATGTGTGTGGATGTTAAGTACGAATAAAACTGAATTTAAAGTGATGAAAAGTTTTTTGCTTAATTAAATTCAGTAATGGCTGTGTACTCAATTTTCACAGACAATTTTCTTTACTAAAAGTCTTTCTCATTGTCTACAGAAACTTGATACCCAAAAACATAGTTTTGAAGTCACAAATGGAAAAATAACAGATTTTCCACTTCCTGATTTATTACATTTTGTTTCATCCCTAAATAAATCATCGATTCTATCCAACTTTTGACCTCATTTCTGTCAAAAAACCCTCCAAAAATATTGAGTTTTTTTTTTATCTTATCCAACAACTTATGCATGTTTGTCGTTCAATAATCAGTGAAACATAAAATTATTGTGACATTTATGATGATCCGTTTATAGACATTAACATTATTGATTGAAATATTACTGCATTTAAATCGAATTGAGCGAATGAAAATGTTAAAATATGGAAAATCTAATTAGCATAAATGCATGTCTGAGAGGCTTAAATCATTCCAAAAGAAGACAGTTAATGCACCTAATAAATATTAGTTTGTGAAGTAATTCGGATAAGGAAATGGAAGCTTTTATCGATTTTTCCATGAAAATCGTAGTTGTGAAAATTTCAGCATGAAATTCAATGTTATGTTCGCAGTATGGAGAAAAACGTGCGAGTCCTTTTTGATAAACATTGAGTGTGATAATGGCAGGCAAAAGCAGAAAGGAGGAAAAAGGAATTTTCTAATAAACAATAAAATTGCTATAAAAACAGCCGCACTAGTGGTGGAAAAAAAATAACAGCCAAACCAACCCCTAATCTGTTCTGTCTGAGACACATTACATATTGCATGACTTAACCCGTAATTTCGGCAATGTCCTTGTTCATGAAATTCGCTGTTAATGATGATGAGTCACATGCTCTCTTTCACCTGACTCTATAACTCTTTCACGTGATGCATGGATTCGTGATAAACAAAGTTGTGGATGGAGGTATAGGATAAGCGATCATAAATTGAGGGTTTAGAGGCATTACTCACCTGAGAATCTTGTTAGAAATTTTCGAAATCCATTTGTGAGCGATGTCACGAGTAACATACTATGTTGACTAATTGTCAGTAATTTTGAGTTATTTTCAAGAATCATCTTGCTTGCCTATTTGCTGGCCTTTGCTTCTTATTTGCTTGTGTATTTTATAATTTAATTAACAAAATTTAATTATTTTGTGTAATCATTTGGTAATAATTTGCAACAATGTTGATTTGACGATGAGATTAGTCTTTGTGGGTCTGCGCGTGTGTCTTATGAGATCTTTCACTTTTTGCAACGTTTGTTCCCGTTTAAGATTTTTTTCATTGAATGAGATCGAAGCACATTTTTATTATTTCCCATTGAAGATTCGATCTTTTAATGTCCATACTCATTACATTGAATATTTTATGTTCAGCTTTAATCCACATTTTCATGATTTCTACTGATCTTTAATATTATTAATTAACCTCATGGAAAGCAATTAAGGTAGAAGTGAATTTTCGATAGTGCCACCTATAAAATCGATATAAGAAAGAATAAATTAGTATTAATTTTTGGAAGTCCACAGAAGAGATTTTTGTGTGCGATATTTAGCAACTTTCATAATGCTAGTGATACATAATGCTGCTCTATGGAAAAATCACTTCAGTAGCTGCTCACTCTTCATTCATAAATTTTTCATTTGGTGAAGCAGAAACACACAAAAATGTAAAGAAGAGATTTCTACAATTAACTGTAATTAATTTTTCCTCATTAATTTTATCTTCTCTTCGACTCTCTTCTTGTGCATAAGCGCGATGCTTCTGTTGTTACTTCTTTGTTTGTTTTTTCTTCACTTTTTTTATTATTAAATTTTAAGAAAATGAGATTTTTATTTCACGATCTTCGGCTTATTTCTTGCAGATGTAATGAAAAAGAATTTTTTTAGAGCAATTTTCATTGATCAAGAAGTAGCGGTGAACCTTTCTTCATCTCATAATGCTCACTTCTATCTTCACAATAATAATAACAATAATTTAAAGCTTAAGAAATGCATTAACACGGAATAAGAATGTATACCAAGTGAGAGAGAATGTTAAAGGTGAATAGAGCGTTAATCTACCACGTGGACAATGAAATACATTGAAATCATGTTGCGATCAATAACACAAATTGCATAACTAAATCCACTTACTTTCTTTCTCCTTTCTGCAATTTTTCCTTATTACTGATTCTTTTCGTCTTGCTCTGTGCTCTTACTTCTTCTTCTTCTTCGCTGTTATATGTGTGGTGCTTATGTACATTTAATATTACTTTTCTTTCGCGATTTTATGAAATTTTCTCTTTTTTTTTAATTGTATGCACGGTTTTGCTGTTTGTTAGCTATTTTTTTATATTTTATTTCTTCATTCACTTGATCTCATTATTTACCTTGAAAATTTTCATATCACATGCTTTACACTTTACTTTTATTATGATTATTATTTTTTCTTGTTATCAACTTTATAATAGGATGTTATCTCATCATATGAATTTATCAATAAATTAATTTCTTCCTATTTGATAAAAAAAAAAAAAATCTTACACAATCACACACCTTATTTTTTATTTGGGCAATATATTAATAACTTTTTTAAACTTTATGGAATGCAGAAATTAATTGAACAGCACAAAATTGTAAATTTTTTTAAGTTTTGTTTGATTTTTTTGTCTCCTACACCTACTGATAATCGCAAAAACCGCGAAAATATGCGCGAATTTAACGTCTCTTCACACTGACGATTATTTGGGAACTGAGTATCACATTATATGAAAAATGAGAATATGAATGAAAGTAAAATAACAAAAACAAAAAAACAAAAAAATCAGAAACTCATTTTTCATTTCGTTTCGTTTCAATTTTCATTTTGTTTTTGTTTGGAAACTTTACACTTTTGTGATGTTTTGGCGCGAATTTTAAACTGTACGAACTGAAATGTTCAACTCATCACGCTTTACCTAAATTGTCCATTAAAATGAATTATTAGATTTCTTTGGAATTGATAATATGATTTGGAAAAAAAACCACGGACCATGAAAATTTTTTCTTAAATTTGAATTTAATGCAAACGTTCTTAAATGGACAGTTGTGCAATGTTGCATAGAAATTGCCTTGTCATTTTCCCACTCACAACTCATCAACTGTGTGTGGCGAGTAAGTGTAAGGTATTCAAATGGATTTTTTTTTTTCGTTTTTATTATTGAGGGTTGATAAATGAATGGAATTGTAAGTGTAGAAGAAAATGAATCAGGTTCACTCTTCAGAATGTTGAAAAAAAATCGATGAAATAGTTGAGTTCTCTTTTGGGGTCGTTGAATTAATTTAGACTATTTTACACATACATTCAATCATAATACAATAATATTTTGTGGATAAGACTTTTTCAAAATATATCGACATCGATTTTTAAAGCATTTCTTTATGGCGCCATTCACTTATTACGTAACGCTTTTAGGGGGAGGGGGGGTCTAAGATTTTGTTACGGTTCAAACAAGGAAATTTTTTTTTCATACAAATTTTGTTACGAGGGGGGGGGGGGGGGGGTCTAAGAAGTCATTTTTTCGCGTTACGTAATAAGTGAACAGCCCCTATGTAAAATATGATATTGTTGGTTTTTTGACCGATTGGCGGATAGGAAGTTTGAATGAATATTGATTGTTGCTTTAGTCTGATTTTTGTATATTTTAGGTTTATTTGTAGCTGTTGTTTTTGAACTACTTATCAATTTTTCTGATAAATTTTGTCACAATATCTTCCTTAATAATGTCAGCAAGGGGACGATTATAAGCTCTTATTAGGACTGTTCCCAGAAGTCGCCTTGAGCTCTTGCTTTAAGCCAACAAGCAACCTATTAGAATTTTGTTTTACTTAAATTTCAATCATACCTTTAACTCCAATAACAGCTCATCATTACATAGAACTCAAAAGACCCTGTCGAACTTCATGCAACAAATTTTGCGTTCAAGACTCTCCTCTAATCAAATGGCCATCGTAAAAATTCTTGAAATTTTTATTCTTCTGTCTTTTTGTTGTTATGGCTGAACGTGCTAAAATTTGTTTTACTTATGTTCTTTTTATCCCGTAAAATTGCCCATTGATTTTTCCAAAAAAAGTATTCCTGAATGTGTTTATGCATAAATTTCTTAATTTTAAAGTCTATTCTTATTCAAGCTTTTCTGTTTTGAAATTCTCTCAACATTTTTTTTTTGTATAAATATTTTTTTGTGAGAATAATAAAATTTAAAATTATTATTGCATGTGGGTGGCATTTTTAAGACCAAACGATAGTTTGAATTTTTTTATGAGAAATATCACAACAGATGACGATATGCACGTATAGAATGCCTTTTCATCATCCAAAAGAGATATTCTTTTTGTTCAACAGAATTTGCCGCTTCCAATTAGGAGATAATCATCATGTAGCTTAACTATTCATCATTATCAAAAATGACCCGACGTGCCTTTTTCATGGAAAATTCAATTTCATAAGAAACTGAAATGAAAGAACCAATGAGTCTGTCATGTTCAATCGGCATAGAATTTACTCTGTTGTTAATGATATCATTATCCTATCCGTCCGTTTCCCTACGGTTACGTAATCCATTAAAAACAAATTATCCTTCATCAAGTGCAGTGCCAATAGAATTGAAAATTGTTTTGTCCTTACTCAACTACTATACACATAATATCAACGTCTAGCGGTGCATGGAAAATTCCTCCTTTATATTTAATCGTAATTCAGTCAAACGCAAAATAAAGTCATTGCTGTAATTCTCAAAAGAGAAAAAAAAAAGTCATCAAAAAAATATAATTCCTTTACATACATAATACGCATAAGGACATGAAATAAGTAATTCAATACAAATATCATGCGGTTAATAGCTCTGAGACGCACTTTTAGGTTTCCGTGATAAATTACATACGAAATGTCTCCCATGATCCTTTTTTCTGCGGTTTATCATTTTCTTTCTAATGCCTTTTTGATGTTTTTAACTCGAAATAATTTCTTTATTCCTGAAAAGTTCAGCGCACTTGTCGAAAAACAGCAACTGACTAGTTGGTAATAAACTTGAGATAATGTTCAATGTCGACATGGCTGGAATGGGAGGGGAAAGGCTAAAAAACTGAAAGTGTCTCAATAAATAGGAAATCTTGATTGCGGAAGGAGAGGAAAAGTTCTGGCAATGTCAAAATATTTTTCTTTATTGCTTCTTGCTGTTTTGCCAAACTCAAATGAAAAAGGGAAAGCTCTCTGGCTTTTTGTGTCTCATCCCTCTTCTTCTCAACATCCGATATCATAAATTTGTTGAGAGAAGAATTGAATGCGATGAGAAATAAATGGCAATAACTTTGCCCAGACGTCTGGATTATTTTAAAGGATGTCGTGAAGATAAAAAAAAAGTCCTCTTTTTGGGTGATGGAAAATAATAGAAAAATCCAGCAAATTCATCATTTTAATTGTAAGCATTTGTCAGTTTCCATTTGCTATCATAACAAATCATCCATGATTCAGAGACCGATTAAATGTCATTAATAATTAAATTACATGAGAGTTGCATTGGAAATGAGAAGACAAATTGACTTCTTAAGACTTCTTTTAATTGCATTACTCACATAAATCTCGTCTCTTAATGCTATTTAAAATGAAAAAATCGAATCCACTTTACCACGCGCAATAGCATCACAAGCATCACATTTCATCTCCCTTTTCGTAAAATTCACTTTAAAAATTTATGAATTCTAATACAACACTCTAATTTAATTTACTTAAATGCTTTTCGCTGTTCACACTCATTCAATTTGTTTGTTTTTATTATCATACGATAGTAGTGCAGCACATAATGTTGAGTATGCGTACAGTTTAAGATGAACGAGAATAGAAAGAAACATCTATTGATGTTTTGGCCGTAAAATTTATGTTTGTTACCTAATTCTAGGAAATATTGCTGCCGATTTCTTTCAATTTTCACTTGTATATGCTTCTAATTTTAGATATTAAAAGATGTGGAAATATCAACAGAAATAACAGTTATAAGTGTGATAATGAAATTTTATATTACAGTACTGTGGCTGTAAATAATTTCTGTGCTGCATT